GAAAACTCCAGGCATTGGTTAAGACACGGAAAAAACATAGTCTAGACATTTGTAGAAAAATCTCTTCAAATGAAAAATGCCAACACAATGAATATAGAATACATGGAGACAGATTCATTTTTTAAATAAACTGCTTCTCATTTACAAATGAATCGTTAACCAGTGTGTAGAAAATACTACAGTTAAACCTTCTTTTTTGAAACATGGTATGACCAACTTTTCTAAAATACCTTTCGATTTTTATTAAATTTGATCCTAAATGAGTGACTAAGACCACGAACTCAACAGGATTGTGTTTTCCGTTGCCGTTTACCCACAGACTCATAGTACCGAAAGCCTTTACGCAGCCACAGATATTGCATTGTAGCGGCCCTTCACATAGGATGCAGGTTTAAGGCACTTTCACATTGGCTTCATCTTTATAAACAGACAGCTACACTGTTGTTTTGTATTGTATGGTTGTACCATTGGTCATTCAGATTAGTGAGCATATGTGAAAATATGTGACCCTCAAAATTTAAAAAAGTAGTCCCTGGAGTATTAGTTAAAAGCATTTTATGCTTCTTTTTTTTTTTAACTAAAACTACCTGTTAGTCATTTCCCACAAAATGTGTCATGCTGTAACTCATCACAGTCTGAGTTATGAAGTATTAGCACAAGTCAATGCAGTGAAGTGTCAGATGGACCACTGTAGTATCACTTTTTACCTCAAGATGAAACCGTCATTTGATTTTAATGAGCAGTAGGAAGAAATCACATATTATGTATTATGTTGTTTTGTTTTTCCACTTTTTCTTGATGTACTCACCTTTAGTTTATTTAAAAAAGCAAGAAAGTCAGTAAATGTGAAAAATGAGCGAAGAACAATATATTTCATCCAGTGCTGCTAGAAGTTATAAGTCATAAAAATATAAACTATTAAGAGGAACAAAAAGAAAAATTTAAACTGTAAAATTAAAAAAAAGTTTATTGTTGTTATTCTTCACTTTTAGGATTTCTTTTTTCTTTTATATTTTTTAGTGTTTTTTGTTCATTTGTTTGTTAATTACAATATTTTTTTTATTACAGGGCCCATTGATATTGGACGAAATATTATAAAGCTTCTTTCAAAATGTACTTGTTGCTTTAAATTAGAATTAGACAAACATAACTTTTAGGGTCTTCTCAATAGTTTAAGATAGTGGCAGTGCATTTAATTGAATGTCATGACCCAAATGAAACATTAGCATTTCAAAGATGGAAAATAACATTACCAGTATTCTTGATTGAGAGTGAGATATTTTTCTTGAATCAAACATAGGTCAAAAAAGTAGTGATTACACAAACAAGCAATGTGTTTTACATAAAGACCTTGCTGATCTCATGGTTCTCAGGCCTTTAGGTGTATTTTTTAAGCTGCCTTTAGGATTTATGTAGCGTATCAGGAAACAAGCTAACAGTAACTGAATAGCAGTATAAACAGTTAATTACTTACTATACTCTGCTGACAAGCTTATTTACAAAGAGTGGCATAGATACAAATATTCAATAAAGTTGTTGGTTTATTGATTATTTGCGCACATTTAATGAAAAACAAAGAAAAAAGGCTTTGGGATTGTACCAACTTGTTCTTTCTATAATTTCTATAATTTTTTATATATATATATATAACAATATATAACAATTATATTGTTTTTTAATCCTGTTGTCTACTATTTATATTTGTTGGTATGGAGCACCTGTAATTTCGTTGTACATGTACAATGACAATAAATGACTATTCTATTCCATTCTGTTCTTTTCTATTTCTGTTTCTACAGGAAAGTAAAAAGGTATGTAGCAGCCATGTGCTGCTAATGCACTTGATTAACTGATCATCAGCATGTGTGACCACCTATATAAAAGCACAGGTTTTGGCAGTTTGCTGGTCTGGAGCACTCAGGTGTCAGTGTTATAGAAAGGCATACTCTCCCCTGGAGTGTATGTCAAAGCAAATTCCCCCTAAGGTCAAACCATGAAGTGCTGAGAGACATTGCAAAAACCCCAGAGCTACATCTCAGACTCTACAGGCCTCAGTTAGCATATTAAATGTTAAGGTTCATAATTGTATGATTATGAAAGTAGAATGTGAGCCAGATTTCTGGAACAGTGTTCTCTAACGCACAGTGCCACATTTGGAGAAAACCAAACTCAGTATATCAGCACAAACACCTCATACCGACTGTCAAACATTAAATAGTAGTGGAGCTTTGTTGACCTGAGTTTGTTTTGCAGTCACAGGATCTGGGGACCTTGCAGTCATTGATTTGACAATGAACTCATCTATATACAAAGTTAATGCAAAGTTAATGTGAGGCCATCTGTCTGACAGCTGAAGCTTGGCTGAAACTGGGCCCTGCAACAAGAGAAAGATGTCAGGCATACCAACAACAGCAGAATGGCTGAAAAAAAAAAGGAATCAAGCTGCTACGGTCATCTAGTCAAAGTTTAGAGAAGAACAGTTGACCAACATTCTGCCACAAAAAGTGTTAAGGTAATACAGAATATGAGAGCTTTAACTTATTGCTGCCCAAGGTGGTTCCACAAGGTGTTAAATCAAGACCTATACTTACTTTTTGAAACCACTGCATAGTGTTCAGTGGAATAAATGCTACGCAGTGCTATGACTATGTTCCACCAACTTACCGACTCAGTCATTAATTTTGCTCAACTTCCAGTCTATGACTGGGCTAGACTGAGGGGAGAGGGGGGGG